GTTGTTGGTTCTACTTCCAAAATTTCTGAAATTCATGTCCACTTCTTTCTACCCTAGTAATCCTCTCTCCTAGATTACTACAACAGCATCTTAACTGGATGAGCCTTTTCCAAGCTTTCCTCCTCCCAAACATTCTCCAGGGGTGATCTTTTGGTCTGTGTAAATTGAATAAGCCACATTCATGCTTAAAACACTTGAGGAGCTTCTAGTTGCACTCAGAATATCAACCCCTGCTTCCCATGACAAGGCCAAGCAAGGACGGGGCTCAGTCTCTAAACTCACCTCCCACTGCTGGCCCTGAGCTCCCACCCTGCAGCCTATCACCTTCCTTTCTCTTCCTTAAATGGATCAAGCCCTTCCTGCCTCAGGAACTCAGCTCTTGGTATTCACTTGGCTTGACAGCCCTTCCTGAGCTCTTTGCCCAACTGTCCTGGTCTCATTTTTCAGGTCCACCTTAAAATCATTTCCTTGGGGGGATCTTCCCACTTAATCTAAAGTCATGTGTAATTATACACCTATTTGACCCTGTGCCCACAGCCTGTCTCCCCACTTGACATCTGTTTGTTATGTTCCCGGTGCCTAGCATGGCACCTGACCCACACAAAAAAAGCACAGGATATATTTGTTGAATAAATGAAAGAAGAGTTATGAGGCCTATCCAACTGGCCGGTGCTATCCAAACTTAAGTCTCCATGGAAAAGCAACTACATTTCACTTCATCTAGTGAACCCACTGAAATATTATATCCTGGAATATCGTGAAATGAGGTTGAAGTTCCAAATTCAAAACTCTGAATTTGGCACTATCCTATTTACTAGTCTCAGCTTTTTAGGGAATATGACGGAATAAGATCTGCTCTCAGAGAACTTACAGTTTCATCAGAGAATAGGTATATACCTGAAACACTTGGAGAATCATTTAAAAAGAGAATATGTTCAAATGTCAAAATGATGCAAGAAAACATAAGTAACATCATCAGTGAGAGTTGGGGCAGATGAAGACTTCATGAAGGGAAAAGATTTTAATTGGACCTTGAGGGAATTAAGATTTGCAGGGAAGAAGGGAGGAGCATTACATACAAAGTCCAAGAGAGAAAATGTATGAAGGAAAGAATAAAGGCAAAGCATGTTGAGGACCAAAGGCTGACATTGGATCTCTTTACCCTGCCTTTCAAGTTACAATTAGAGACAGGCAGAGAGAGTAGTTTCATAAGGAAGACCATCAGGATTTTTGGTTTTGATTTTTAACACTGTAATAAGTAAATAGCAGCAGAATATTCTTTGTGTTTTCCTATAACAATTTAAAAACTTAAATGTATAACAATTTTCTTAGCCAAGAATTCTTCTTATGTTTTAACTCAAAGAGGAAATTTTTAATGTTTAAAGGTGTAAGAACCCAAGAAAGAAAAATGAACAATGCTGGCTGGAAATGCATGGAAGAGAATTAGCCCCAAGCAGTAGGGTCAAGTAGGTCCAAAAATGTGATTTACAAAAGGGTGCCAATCCCAGGACATTGCATTATGTGAGGACTGTGCACATATCATCCAAAACCAGGCAGCACTTAAACCTTTTCCAGGGTAACTTAAGTCTTTGAAAATAGATGATGTTTTGGTAAACAATTTCCAGTTAGAAAATATATTAACTCATGTTCAGAAAACACAGTTGATTCATTTCTAGTTCATGAACACTCTGGGAATGTAAAAGAGAAACATTTGTGTCTGCATTCAAGTTGATATGAATTTTATTTAAGCACACCTTTTTAAAAGGGCTTTTATTCTCACTTCTCATTCTTGTTTTTTTATTGCATCTTTTCCCCAGGCATGTTTATCTCTGGAACATTGCTTTGGGGAGCATAGGTGTCAGCAATATCTCATTCTTTCTTGAGCTCAGGGAGAAGCACATGTAATACAAGTAGAAATGGGGGGAAAGAGAATAAATGAAATGTCTGCTGCAGTATATTTAGGTATACTGTGTTTTAAGTTAACCTGTAATTAGGCTACAACACCCCATTCTGAAGAAATTCACCTGGAGGAATAAAGAGGCCAGGAAGGCACAAGCATTTATAGTATATATATATATATATATATATATATATATATATATATATATATATATATATATATATATATATATATATATGGAGAGATCTTGCTGCGCTGTATATTTACAGGGACTTTGCTAAGGCACTTACAACAAAAGTATAATGAAACAGAAACAAACAGTTGTTTATTTGACATGGAAAACAAGGTGACACACGTATTCTACGGCTTCACAGGAATTAATTATTTGAAGACCTAATTACCCAGTGCTTTAAATAAAACACTTGTTTTTTCTTAAATGAACAGATCTCAGGAATTCTTATTTAAAGTCCCATCCCTTTGAGCTATAAAGACCTCATATGCATAAAGGGATTTATGCTGGCTGGACCATACAAAGAAGTATCTTCCAAGTTAAGATATGAATTCTTACTGCTTAGGTTAGTTTTCTTCTTTGAGGTCCTTATTTCATTTTTTCATTTTAATAACGACTTGCATACACCTCAGAAAGTCTCCTAGCTCGTGCAGAAATCTCAACTTGAATTTCAGGTATACGGAATGTTGCACTTCCTTACTGAGCACTGCCGTCTGCACTGTTTGCCTTCAAGGGGCTAATGCAGAAAAGAGAGTTCTAGAAAATACAAGGAGCTGCACAAAGGAAAGGTGTGAATTCCACAGTCATCAGGAGCTATCTAGCTTCATTAACTAAAAGCATTAATAAAAAAATTTTTAATAGCTGTACAATTAGTCTAACCTACAAGAAAAGCCAAATGCCAACACAAAAGAATGAGTTTGATCTGAGGAAATATGAGATTAATGGAATGAGTTCAAGCCAAATCCTCTCAGATGTCATCCAGATTTACACCGCTATTGAGGGCAACTGAGCAGTTTCCTCACAACAGAGCACTGCACCCACGCAGCCCATTTTTGGGAAGGAGCCAGAGTCTGGAGATATGAAGTTTCCAACATAAAATTACAGTCCTAGCATTCTAGAGTGCAACCACTCAGGTCAGTGCACTTGGAGAACACCATTCTGTTGAGAGTGTGAAATAACGGCAGGAGGACGAATCCTTCTGAAGGAAGCAGAAAGAGAGGGTGGTGTGGAACCCAACAGACAAGGAGTGCCAGAGCTATGTGGGGCTTGGCTGCATTCTTTTGTGCATTTCTGTATTGTGCAAGTAACCCAGTCAGAGTTCCCCATCTCCAGTGAATTCTCTGTCACGTCAAAAGAAGCAAACAAAATATTCCCTGCTGTGGGTTCTCAGAGTCTGAAGCAATGAACCAAAACCAGTTAAAAGGAAATCAAATCTGTTCTGGGAAGCAACGGCCCCTCTGACTTTGAGAGCACTGCCAACAATGACCTCAGGCAGATCAAACTATCAGTTTCCCTTCTGGAATTCCCTTCTGGAACTATCTGGAGCCAAGATATTTGAGAATAACTGCCAACTCCTCAAGAGTTCAACTTTTCCTAAGGTGAATATCCTAGGACTTTGAGTACCAGTGCCTCACTAAACACATACCTCTTGCAAAGTCCCCAGTTACACTCTGAAGGTGTCTCAGGACAGTCTTCCAAGACAGCTCCCAGCAGGTTACTCTCTGAGGGGACCCATAATTACCAGAGAAGTTATGAAGGTGAAATCTGGCTATCAGCTGGGAAACAGCTTTTGGATCAAGGTTATTCATGGGGAACAAGCATAAAGAAAGGGAAGTATACCATTACTCACAGCTGGAGATTAAGAAGGGAGCCAATACAGTCCACTAATTAGCTGATCAGAAATGAGGAAAATGTTTATAAATCAACTCTCCACCCAATTCCCAATTTCAGGTCATGTGGGAGACACACTACTTTTGTTGTTGATCATGGGGCAAAAGAAAGTACTAAAAATTTTCATTTCATTTGACTAGAGTCATTCAGTTTAATGGGTGACTTCAGTTTTCTATAACTTCTCACTATTTCATTTCTCCTCCCCTCAACATACTAACATGTGAGGAGAAGCAGAATGTGTCACCCCAAAACATGCCTTTTGGGATATTGATTATTTTAAGCTGGTTTATTCTTAAGAAAAGAAAAGACTCAGGAAAAACCTTTGACCTTCCCCCTAACTACCTCAGAGAATTTAGATAGAGGATCTACTCCAGAAGGGGAGTTATCATCATACATAACAATAGTTTAACAGGAACTAGTGTGTGATAGACAGGGGGGAACCTAGCAAGGCCTGTTTGATTCAAGTCCTCTCTGTGTCCCATTGTTAAAGATGGTCCAGCAAACATTTAATTACCAAACATTCGCTTTTCCATCTCCATATGAATTGCCTTCCTGACTTTTGAAGACTCAAGCCACAGCCACCCCTTCTCCTTAGCTCAAGATGGCATATAAGCCTCAATTACCACGATCTGTCTTCAAGTCCCATATGTACATCCATAATACATTTGATCATTTTCTCCTATTAATGCGTCTCATGTCAATTTTTTTTTCTTTTTAAAAATATTTCATTTTGGCAAAATATAAACATATACAAATGTATACAAACATAGCATAATGAACTTACAAGTACCCAACACCCAGCTTCAGCATTTATCAACAGAATCATGTCAATTTGATTATTAGTCCAGCTGGAGAATTTAGAAGTGTAGAAGGAAAAATAATTTTTCTGCCCCCACACATAAAATACTATAGAGTACATAGTTTTCTAATTAAAATAAACTTTATTTTACAGCAAATTTACTTCATTTTGATTCACAAAACAGGATTGCCAGGTTAAAGCACAGAATTATGGAAATTTAGAATTGGGAGGCACAATATAGGTCAGTACTGATGAGTGCATGCTTGTAGGTTTTATATCCACAACATCAAACAAATTCACACAGAGGAAAAGCTCTACTTCAGAGCTCTATGATTTCATCCTTTGACTCTCAGAAGCATAAAAATGTAAGCTACGCTAAAAACACAATTTCAGGTACTTACTGATTCCTTGAAAGAGCTCTTCAATATTAATAGCATTTTTTGCACTTGTTTCAACCACGATGGCACCTATGGATTCAGCATATTCCTTCGCATCCTTCAAGGGAACCTCCCTGAAAAAGAAGTCAAACCCAGATAGAAATGAATGCTCATTGGTAAAATATAACTAACCCCAACAGACCAAACAAAAAGCTCATGTGGAAACAGTTCCTTTATTTTCCTGTACAATATCAACTCCATTGCTCAGCAAATATTGAAAGCTTAGTATGGATGAGACTTTAAAAGGTTAAAACCTGGTCTCTGGCATCATGGAGACAAACTGTGCATAAATAAAATATTGTCCCAGTCCCACAGAAGCAAACAATGCCAGAACAGTAGGAAAAATTATTATGAGTATGGCAGTATATATTCCAGCTTTCAGAGTTAGGGTTGATTTCAAATATTTTTCCCCATAATAACAAGGAAAAAAATACTTTTTTAATTGTGTGTTTGTGTGCATGTGCAAATGTGCACACATGTTTCTATAAGACTTTCCATATGTCATCTTTGACAAATCAGATAAAATATGTGACATGATCGGAAAGTTTGGAAATGGACATGGTTATAGCTACAATAGCTATGATGTAGTATGACATATTTGAACGTTGACTCCTTTTTTCTTTTTAAGACTTTTATTGGGGAATTGGGGGAGGGAACAGCATTGGGGGACTTGGGGAAGGGGAACAGACAAGTTGCTGTCCTTCTGTTCTTCAGTCTGGTTGTGAAGGATGTCACTTCACTGGCCCATGTTGGTATTGTGGTCATTGTGCTCTTCCCGGCTGAGGCAGATTGGTCGCCAGGCATTGGACAGCCGCTCATGGTGGCCCACAGCAGCTCACGCTGGCTGCCGCCACTCACAGAAGCTTACAACAGCCTACTGCAGCTCCATTGCAGCCTATGCTGTTGTCAGTGACTCAACGGCAGCCCAGCTCCAGGTCGAGCTGTTGATCACCATCTTAGCTGTAGAGGGAACAGTGTCACTGGCCCATGTGGGATCCGAAACAGCAGCCCTGCTGCTCAGAGCTCACACTCCCAAGCCAACTCTTAACCAATGAGCCACTCGGCCGGCCCTGGACTTTGATTCTTAATAGGCTGTTCCTGCAAAGGTTTTAGGACTTAAACTCTATTTAAATAAACACTCTAAAAAGACACTTATTGATCTATTTTTAATGTAAAGATATTATGGTGGATCCAAAGACTAAAAAGTCACAGTTCCTATTCTCCAATAGTTTATTCATTTATTCAACAAATAGTCATTGAGCAGCTATTGTATACCAGTCTTCTTGTAGGTGTTGGAGAAAACACTAGTCCTTGCCTTCTGGAATCTACATTTGAGAGCAAAGGCAAACGCATCCATGGTCACTCTAATCCACAACAGTGGAACACCTGCAATAAGTGGATAATAAAGGCACCAGTACAGTGCTTTAGGAGTAGAGGGGTTGAAAGCGTGCGCTTTGATCAGTGGAACCCAAGAAGATGCCTTGGAGGAGGTCACCTAAAGTGTGGCCATGCCAGGTAAGGAGAACACAGAGAATTGTGATGCAGCAGCCTGACAAAGCCCACAGTATAGGCGTGCCCTCATTTTCAGAGAGTATTAAAAGTCGATTCTGCACCTCAACACTGCCTTGGGTGCAATGGTGGATTTACAAATGAATGATATGGTGTCAGAGAGAGGTTCCAGCAGGAATCGTGGCAGATGGGCAGGAAAGCACCCAGTGGCCAACGGAAAACAGTGACAGAGTCAGCTCCACATTCTAGGAAAATACAGCACACAAAATGAGCTACAGTGGGGCTGTGAGAAGAATTTGGAAGCACTTCTAATGCTAAGAGTGAGAGAGAACACAATGCTGGACTACAGGGGCTACAGGAAAAGAAAAAAGGGAGGAAGAAAATCACAACTGGGAGGAGGGAATGAAGATACTTTCTCCATCTCCCCGTCTCCTTCCCTTTCTTCTGCCCACTCCAAATTCCTCATGAATGGTTACAACTGGTTTATAAAACTACTGGGAAAATTCTACCACAACATTTAAATTCTTTATGTACCCCAAATTATATAAGAGGAGGATTTTTCAGGTAATAACTGGAAAAGGGCCTAACTAGAGCCTACCATATTAAAGGCTGTCCCAGGATTCCACGCCAGAGGAGAGTCCTAAACTACGTCAACTGGAATCTGTACTTCACAGTCTCTTACCAAAGACATAGTAGGAAAAATTATGCTCCTGAATCTACTCTCTTTATTGTTTCTAACAGACAAGCCCCAGGCTTCTTGCAGGTGTTAGAGAAAAATCTCAACTTTTTTGGTGGTGATGAATTTTATACTTGAAACATTCCAGAAAAGGGCTTTTCTATGTTCAGTTTGGCATGCTACCTCATTTAAAAATTTTTTTTCGGGACAGCTGAGTGGCACGTTGGTTAAGAACTGGCTTGGGATGCCAGAGGTCCCCGGTTCGGGTCCCACATATGAGGGCCAGTGACACTGCCCTCTACAGCTAAGATGCTGAACAACAGCTCAACCTGGAGCTGGGCTGCCGTGAGTCACTGGCGATGGCATAGGCTGCAGCCCCTGCTGCAGTGGGTTGCCATGGGCTAATATGTGTAGCCAGCAGCCAGTGTGAGCGGCCAGCAGCCGCTGTGAGCAGCCATCCAGAAGCCGGCGACTGATCTGCCTCACCTGGAAAGAGCGCAATGATGGTGCTAACTTGAACCAGTGAAGCAACATCCTCCACAACTAGACTGAAGAACAGAAGGACAGCAACTTGTCTGTTCCCCTTCCCCAATTCCCCAGCACTGTTCCCATCCCCCAATTCCCCAATAAAAATCTTTTAAAAAAATTATTTTTTCATGTCAGTCTTTGTCAAATCACAAATAGAAGGGTGGGGGTCATCTCTGCCCAAATATGGGACAGATAAAACAAGTTGTGGCCTACTTATCTCTACCTGGGTGTGGGGGCACATCTGACTATCAAGGAAGTTTCAGAGATCCCTCAAGTGAGAGAAGGTTCATATACAGTTAGACACTTCCTTAGCTCCCCTCTCATCAGTCCCATTGTGGGACAGACAGGAGTAGAATAGGTTTTGCCAGGATTAAGGTGAGAACAAACTCACAACACAATCCAAAATATCCATGTTGAGGATAACAGTAAACTGGGATGGGCTAATTATCTCACAGTCTGCAATGCTAGACCTTGAAATGGAGAGATAAGGAAAGTGCATCCTTAGACTTCTCCCATGTTTAGAAACAGATCTCATTAGATAAATGACTTGCCCAAGATGACAGAGCAAATTGGGGTGTAGGCAGGGTCGAACCCAAAGCTTCTTGGGCTCTGCCGAATTTGCTCCTGTCAGGCCTTGACAACACAGCCACCCAGCTGGCACCCACATGCCAGAGGCTGTTCTTTCATTCTTTATAGACAAAGAATATATGAGTTCAAAATATCCTCAAACTGGAGTAGGGGTAGAGGCTGGGGAGGGGCATATTCCATCCTCCTGAAAAACAGGTTCTTATTCTAAGAGTCTGGAGGGCCATTAAAAGTTCCTCTGATATGAACTGAGATTAGAAGGACCAACCACTGTGGTTTGCCAAAATACATCCTATGGTATACTAAGAAATATGAATTTTGTCTTGGTTCCTGATTCTTGGCAAAGAGCTCCTAAAACCCTTGGAATTTCCTGAGTGATTGGTGTGTCATCATGAGTTCCATTAGACCACACTTGAGTTTCTGATAAGGAGAGGCCCCTGAATAGCTTCAGTATGGGGGCTGGTCATCTGAGGAACCAACCACAGGATTAGAGGGCTAGAATTTTCAATCCCATTCCCCAACCTTTGGGGAATGGGGGTAGGGCTGGAGATTTAATCAACCATGACTAAGTAATGAAGCCTCAATAAACATTCTTGAACACAGGCTTGGAGAGCTTCGTGTTGGTGAACACATGGAGGTGCTGGGAGGGCAGTCTGCACACAGAAGGCATGGAAGCCCCACATCCCTGCCCACATACCTTGCTAAATGCATCTCTCCCATCTTGCTGGCCCTGACCCTTTACAGAAAAACTGTAATCACAAGACAAGTGTTTTCCTGTGAGTCTATTCTAGTGAATTAAACCTGAGGGGGTGAGGGTTTATAGGAACCCCCAAATTTGTAGTCTATAGGGCAGAAGTGAGGGTAACTTGTGGATACTCAAGACTTGCAGCTGTCATCTGAAAGGGGGGAAACAGTTTTGTGGGACTGTGCTAATGCAAGGTAGTTGGCATTGGAATTTAATTGAATTGCAAGACACCCACCCAGTTGTATCAGAAAATTGCTGTTGGAATAAACGGTGCAACTACAATCTGAAAAAAGAGCCTTAAAAGGTGAGAATGTACTTCCTTAGGGCCTCTTACAGACATGTCAAATAGCAACCTGGGCACTCCTCCAGCTGCATTTCAAGAAAGTCCAGCTGTACAGACCTGTGAGGCTAGAAGACTGTCATCAATGGCCTCCATAATGAGGATTACATGAGACTATGGCAGCTAATGACTTTCATTCATTTTTTTTCAACAACTATTTATCAAGTGTCTCCCATAATCACTGCACTAGGCATTGAAGCAGGTAAATGGAAACTTGCCAAGGTATAAACACACAGTCAATTTTGATGGGGAAGACTAGTTTTAGACTTTCTAGACTAAACTATGTACAGAAAGTCAGGACTCCCAGAAATCACCCAGAAGAGTTATTGCAACCTAGCCAGGAACAGTAGACTTGGATTTCTTCTCTCCCCCTCCACCCTGCCCCCAATCCTTACCCCCCACCCTCCATGCTCCTCTCACTGCTGTTCCTTCACCCTCTCTCAGGAGCTGATCATACTCTGTCTGACCCTTAAATGTCAGCATTACCCAGGTTTCTTTCCTGACTATCTGAAGTTCTACCCTCCCTGCCCCCCTCAAGCAGCAGGGACTAGCCAGCTACAGGGAGGTTAAGTGGGGCTGGGTTCCCTCTGGAGCCAATGGGATATACAAAGGGGGCAAAAAGTGGGGAAGGCTGGAGACCACAGGAGAGGCTACAGTCCCCTTACCAGGGAGACATGGACTTCAAGGGACC